CCCGCGGCCCGGCCAGCTCCACCAGGTCGTCCTGCGCACGCGCGGGCTTGACAGGCCGTGGGGGCGGGGCGGAGACCCTCTGCCCCTGCTCCACCCGCCTCGGGGGGGGTGGCTGGCTCCCCTGCGCACGCGTGCTGGGAGGCGCGGCGCGCGCATGCGCCCGTCCCGTGCCCGCCCTTAATGGCGGCGCCGCCGTGGCTTCTCCGCTGTACCCCTTCGCTCTTTTGTCTTTAAACGTACGCGGAGGTCTGGTTCTTCCTCTCGGGTCTAATGGTCACGTCAGAACGGCAAAAAGAGGATGAAAAGACTAAAGGGAAACGGGGGAGGTCCCACACGAGCCAGGCTGGGGATGATGGGCGCTGGGGTGGGGGGACCCACAGCTACTCGGCGCCTGAGCCGCCTTGTCCATCATCCGCTGCGCCGGGCTTGGCAGCCCCCCCACCCCCCGCTGCAAAGGAGCACTGCAAGCTTGGAGGCTCAACAGCTCCTCGTGGGGCCGGGGGATCTGTGGGCCCCCCACTCCAGTCCCCATCATCCCCAGCCTGGCTCAGGAGGCGATGGGAGGTGGAGTCCCTTTGTCCTGGAGGGGGGCCAATGTTGGGTGAGAGGGTTGCGGCTTTGCAACCCCCCCAGGAGCTTTTGGGAAGGAGCCGCTTGCTTACCTGGAGGGATCCCCAAAAAAGGGGGGACTCTCCCTTTTTTGGGGATCCCTCTGAACAACTTCAGGTCCAACCAGTTGGGCTGCTTTCGTCGCTGAAACAATGGCCGGCGGCTCTCCCTCGCCTTGCCGCCCTGCTTTTCCCAGGGCTGCGGTTTTACGGGCTTTGCCATCCGCCCCTTTTGACGTTTTTCCAGCAGGCTAGAAACCCCCTCTAAATAAATTCGGAGCAGCCCTTGCAAACGCAAGGAAACACGTGTATATATATATTACATATATATGCATATAGTCTTTTTATATAGTATTATTTTTTAGCTAATTGAATGTGGATAATTATACATTTAACGTTTGATCTTAATTGTGAGGCGCCCAGAGTCACCCTCTGGGGGAGATGGACGGCATGTAAATTTAATAAATTTAATAACTAAAGTAAATGAAACCTGTCAGGTGGCCACGGTTGAAGCTGGTCCTTCAGGTCCCTTCCCTCTGAGTCATTCTGTAATGAGGCTGGCTGGCAGAGGGCATGATTATAAAGGAACACGTTTTTCTCCTAGAGTCGAGCCTCTGCAGGCCTGCGACAACCCAGCTGGGGTTGAACCAGCCACAGCTGGCATGTCGCAAAGGAGCATTACAGAATATTTGGGCTCTTGCAGGGTTGAACCCCCAAAGTGCTTTTCCAAATGCAGAGGAAACTCCCCACCTGGAATAAAGAGATGGGTAGGGCCTCGAGCAAACACGTGGGAGCCAGATGGCATATAGATTTAATAAATCATCATTATTGTAAGGATGCAACATTTTACCTAAGAGTTGAGCAATCCATAGTAAAGATTTAATCAGAGCTTAAATGCTCCAGCAGCAGTATTTTTAAGTACTAACTTATCATGGATGTTATTGCTATTTCAAAATGTCCCAATTTACTAACTCCTTCTTTAATGAGCCTCATTTCGTTTTTCGTGCGCTGCCTGCCTCGCATGTGAAATTTCTTGAAGGGACTTGAATTATCGCTCAGGCTTGACTTTATGGTTTATAGTCTGTTTGCCTTCATGGTCCCATTTCTCCATTATTTCTTAGTCCCTTGCACATTGCCCATTGTTTCCTGACACTTTACTTTTACATCTTTATGATTTTCACAAAATTGCAATCTTTTCTTTTTCATCACAGCCTTGGCAAAAAAGAGGGGATGGATCCCTGCAGGAAATAAGCTAAAACTCTCCGGCTTTCGGACTGCAAACCCAGCAAACGCGCTTGTGAATTATGCACACCCATGAGCTGCAAAGCCCATTTCTTCTTTCTCCTTCCTCTGACTGTTGTACGAATCTCAACATGGAAAAGGAAAAGGAAGTTGCTGGGGGTTGCAGTTCCGCCTCTCTCTTGGAAGACATGCTGGCTGAGCGAGAACATGAATCTCCTTTGAATCAAGGGGGCAAGCAGAACCTGGGATTAAGGGGGAGAATCTCTCCTAAACCTTTAACGTGGAGGTAAGGGTGGCTTAAATCTTGCACTTCAACTCACCTCTTTTGGCTAACCTGAGCATTCATGTTGGATGGAAAGGCGCTGGTATATTTTCCTTTGGGAATGTACAAGCCTCTTGTGTTCTTGTCATTGAATGAATGGGTCAGATCCTAAAGTCATACAGGCTTCCTATAGTGGGGGGGGGGAGTAAAGTGTTTGAATAAGGGAGGACCTTGTGTGTTAGCCTTGTTCCTTTACTCGCTCGGCCATCAAATGACCAAGCACTAACATGCAAAGAGCTGGATTCACACAACCTATTAAACCAAAGAAGCTATCTTAAAGTGTGGTATGGTCTCAATCGTCGTCATATGTTCTTCATGGTTTTCGGTAAATTGTTAGTGCCAAATCAGCAAACTCTGATTCTTAGCGAGAAGAATCTAAATCTTGTTGGGGGGAAAATTTCATTTAGAGAATCAGCAACTGCTTGAATTACATACTCAAAAGTAAATCTTTCCCCAATATATATGTCAGTTAACCAGCTGATGGCCTAAAGAATGTCACGTTTGTGATGGCTAATTTGAAGAACTTTCAAATTATTTTCTTCATCTTTTTTCTTTTTTAATTCAGGACGCCTCGAGCAGCTCGGAGAAGTTGTAATGCAAGCTTTAAGTCTCCTGTAAGTGTCTACAAGGCCAAATCTCTCACCCCTCTACAGAATATGCATTGATGGATATGTCTTACATTGTAGGAATGTAGGAAACAGTGTTGGAAACCACAGTTGTAGTCGGGATCCTATGGGTTATCCCTTGGCTGTAAACCAAGTAGGACTATAAGGGTTTCATTCAACAGGTTGAAACAAGATTATAAAGCATTGATTTGCTCTGTATTGCTTTGTCCATAAAACCGAATCGTACTATTTTTTTTTTAAAGGTAAATCAACACTTTGGAGGCTCTTGCCTTAAATTAATTTTCTTAGAAATTGCTAAACTGTAAACACATGAGATATTATTGGTTAAATTGGATTTTTAGCGAGGGGGGCACGTTGCAACCTAAGAATAGTTTTGTAGGATATGTACAGCCTTTTGTCTGTAAACAGGATGGCTTGGAATCCCAACTTATTTTTTTTTATAAAATAAAAACTAATATTATTTTGACAGTCCTGATACTGTCAGGAAAACTGGAGAGATGGTGGAATAAATAAAAAATATCTATTTTCTTGGCAACAATTATAAACTTCATAGGACTGATTAGATTTTGGCTTTCTCTTCATGGTGTTCATTCCCTCCCTCCCTCACCCCCCCCCCCCAAGTAAGGGGCACTGAGAGCTCTGAAGTTATTTATTCTAATTCAGCTTCCAAGTGCTGGAATCATAAAAATGTTAATGTTGTCTGTGCTTCTCTGTTCAACAGGTTCTTCCTCCAAGGAGCTGTCAGCCTGCTGATAAGGACGTCTTGCAGCACGAAATTGAAGAGCTAAAATGCAAGGAACTTGCTCTGGATCAGGAAATAGCACAGATCAAGGCTGAGTGTGTATTTGTAAATGTTTCTGTTTTAAATTGCTCTGTCGTGTGGATGGGGAATTGCAGCTTGACTGCAGTAACTTTTTCAGGAGGAAAGAGTGTTAGCTAACATGGGCCAAACTCATGAGAGTCCAGAACCCTCCCTTTCTCCTGTAGACTGTGTTTTTCTAGAGGCTGTTTGCCACAAAGCTTCTGGAAAACCATTGGATGACCCCAGAATGGCCAAATTGCCACAGACTGGAGAAGAAGGTGGAATATTTTAGAATTCCAGTGCCTTCCATTCCCAGGGGAATAGGGTTGGCACATACGTATTATTAAGCAACGCTGGGGTTACTAGAGGACAGGGAAATATATATAAAAATAGAGAGTCATAAATATTTTTTCCTGAATCTGTTCTTCCTCAAGCAGCTCTTGAAAATCACCCGTCTGGTTTGGCTTGACTTTCCTGCATTTGCTTTTCCAGGGGATACAGCTTGGAGGAACTGGAAAACCACATTACCCTGCTTCATGAATACAATGAGATCAAAGACGCCGGACAAATGCTTTTAGGCAAATTGGGTAGGCACGAATATAGGAACCACGCTGGGTGGGTGGAGGTATGTTTTTTACTTTAAACATTCTCCTTCAGAAGGTAAGTTTGGATAACCTGGTACATTCTTTCTCTACCTGGTGCCTCTAAGATGCACGCCAACATCTGGAGTTGCAGCACTTGGGGAGAGTGACCTAAGACTCTGTAACTCTCAGTTGTTGTTTTTTACTGCTTCAGGCCCACAGGGAAAATACGCACAAGTTCAACGTCAGTGGTGTACAGGTTAGGATGAGAGAAAGGAAAGGAATCTGAGATGTGAAATTATAAAACTGGGTTGCTCAGGCACTGGTCTTAAAAAAAAAATGACTAAGGTCTAGGAGAAAGCCAGTTTGGTGTAGTGGTTAAAGGCATTGAGCTAGAAACCAAGAGACCACGAGTTTAGTCCCACGTTAGGCATGAAGCCAGCTAGGGACTTTGGTCAGCCGCTCACTCTCAGCCCTAGGAAGAGACCACTTCGGAAACCAAGGAAGCTCCATGGACTTATCCAGACAGTCACCAAGATTGGATTGTATTTTCCTTGTTTCTCTTTTCTCTTTTCTAGCTCAGTTACTCTCTAGTTTGTGTGCTTTCTCTCCTAGCTGTGATCAGAGGCGTCACCACGAAAGAACTCTACCCTGAATTTGACCTAGACCTTAACGACTAGGAGGAATGTAGAACATGACACTACCTAGACTATTGAAATATAATACATGGTGAAAAGGCAACCACTGTAAGTTCATTCCCCCCCCCCAACTATTGATGAAACAGTGGCTTTAATTCTTAAAAAAACCCCATTTAATGGATGGAGAAGCTGTTGGATTGTGACCAACCATCTGGAGATGGACAGGAGAGAATTCCCCTGCCGTGCACAGATCTCTGCAGAATTGTAGGATGCTGTAGTGGACTGAATAACTACTAATGGTCCTATTCATTGTGGAAGTCGACCAGGCTAAAATACAAGTCCAGTGTGATTTCCTGTAAGAGTTGCAAAGGTTACTGATGGTCTCAATGGAAGTCCCTTCAGCCCTGCGTCCATTCACAGGTCAGCCCTGTTTTCTTTCTCACAAGCGGACTGAATTTGAAGGTGGAATCCTCTCCAGTCCAAATCATCCCCCTACCTACCTTTTTAACAATTTGCTGGAATGCAGCCTCCTTCAAATGACGGCTGTTGATAAGACCATAGTTCAGAACACGTTGTTGAGAGGAAAGCGAAAATGAAATCGTCTATAAAAGTGATGCATAACTTGCTTGGCAATGAGTTTTAAAAGCATTTGTGAGGTGGTTCAGCTTTGACGCTGAAATTAAGGGGGCTGTTGCACGGGGGACGAAAAATGAACATGCATTGACTTAAAAGTGGTTTCCTTTCCTTCGTGCAAGGAGGTTGGAATCTCAACTAATTTATGTTGGTGTTTGGGGGTGAAATATTAGCTCTCGTTATCTTGCTAATATAGGCAATTCAAGGCTTTCAACGCAGATCTGCAGAGGTCTTGCATTCCAAAGTTATAACATTAAAGACAATTCTCAATTTTTAATGCGAGATGTCCTGGTTGTATGAGACTGGTTTTTTATATATATAAAAAAAATATACATTTCTCAATTTAAAGAGAGTTGCCTTTGAAATGATATCTCCATTCCCTACCCAGCTGCAACTACCAAAGACTAGCTTTCAAGCACTGTTCAGATTCCTTTGTGTGACCATGTGCCTCATCAGTTAATTTATGTAATGGCTGCGTGCACAGTGTCCCTCCATGTCTTCCTGCAGCGATGGAGAAAGGAGAATAATTCTGATGAAATCCAGACCTTGCTTTCCACAGACATGTGCATAAATTAAAAAAAAGAAAATCAAAACTTTTGAGTTGCATTTAGTCACCAACAAATTTTATCTCGGGGCTAGGAAGAGACCAAACAGCTTATCTTAACAGAAATTCAAGATGTTGGTGTTTGAAATACATTACTGTAGTAACAATCAATCCATTACTTTGAAGTATCAAATTTCACCCACAGCGACTAATTTTATTGTGCTGGATCTGGGCACGGTGTCCGATTCATCGTCCTTCTCTCGTTCCTTCTGCGTCTCTCTCAAAAAAAATTGCAACTATCTTTGACATATTGAATACAGTTTTCGAGAGGAACAAGCCAAGTTGGAACTTTCCAAAGGTTGGAATTCCAGAATGTTTTGTACGGCTTTTCCAGTATCCTCATTTTTTCCCTTGAGATTGCTGGCAAAGCATTTTCTGCTGCACTTTGCTGTCTGCCTTCCGGAGCTGGGTCAGATCCAGCCTCTTTTGTAATCAGCCCTGGGCTTCAGGTGTGCAAGACTGTTTTGAAGTTCAGCGTCTACTTTCTGCTTGGACTGTAGAATTGCACGCTGGATGTTCGGGAGAGTCCACTGGGTCCGCAGGAGGGCGTCCTCCAGCACAAACACGCCATCCCGTACCCGTCTCACTTGCGTGCACACAGCAGAAGACTTTAGTTCCAACCCTATTTCGTGAACTATCTTGCGGAGGTATTGTTGGGTCTCGTGCAAGCAGTGAATTTCTAAGAGGGGTAAGGGAAAAAAATGTCAGTAGGTAGGCAGTGTTTAAAGTTGTAATTAATAGTTGCAGCTTTCATAGTTAATCTGTCCCCGTGCCTCTAAAGCAGTATGTGTTCCTTTGCCCCCGTTTATTAGAATAATCCAGGCTAGTTTAGCTGCGAAGGAATTCCTAGTCCCTGAGCTGTTAGGTACCTAAGGGAAAACCTGATACCAGCTCTAGTTGTTTGTCTTTTTAACCCAATTCTGTCCACAGTGATTGATCAAGTTTTTGCTAGGCTCTTGACTAAAGGCCGTTCTTATCGGCCCGATTATTTTTCCTTAACTGGATACATCAGGAATTTTAGCAGAATACAGGCTCTTCCCTTCACTGCAGCGTTTTCACCATCCTTCGATGCTGCTGAAAACCAGTAGAGTGGACAAAGGGAAGAATCACCGGGTTCCAGTCATTTGAGTTTAACCCAGTGCTGAAGGGATGATTATTTTTAGAACATCCTGCTATCCAACCACTAGTTCATGCCTTCCAAAGCCACCTTTTCAAACACGGAGTCGCAGGAACAAAGAGTGGAAAGATTTAAAGAGGATTGTGGAGCTTAATTTCCTTTTTCCCCATAAAACAATGGTGCAAGTCTGCCTTAATCTATGAGGTAGGGCCATACCCAGCTGGAATTCAGGTGGTGCAAAACGGAGACATTGCACTGCAGTAATCAAAGGTGGGCTTTTCTCCATGGGCCGAATTAATCCTTTCACAGCCAGCTCGTAAGCTTCTTGAGTTTTCAGATCAAGGTTAGCACATCTGGAAGGGGATGAGGGTAGAAAATGGAACAGTGAGTGAGTTGTTTGGGAACAGGTCAGGGATATGAGATCTGTAGCCTTTTACAGCTGTATCTTCGGTTGATGTTAATTTGAACTTTACTGCCGCAATGTTCCAAACAGGTATTCATTCTTATTATAATAGCATCCTGAGCAGCTCTACCAGTATTTAGAAAACAGGTTTCTGCTCATGGTGTTCTGGAGAAGTAGTTGTTTATTCTTAAGATAAAAACTTAGGCAAAATCAGGCAAGGGATCCACAGACAAGGATGTATTTTGCAGAGTGTGTGTGTGTGTCATTTGAATCTCCTTTGACAGAGAGATTTTGCCCCTCTCTGATGTGCCAAGAATCCCACAGCATCTGGCTCCAGGCCCAATCCTTCACTGAAAATAGTTTTAAAACTATAAATACGGCCTGCCAACTCTTATTTCCAGAAGCAGCAGACACGAAGTTCTAAATTAGCATGCTAGTAGAGGCGAATATGTGTAGCTCAGGATTGAACTGTGGAGTCCTTGGGGTTCTCTGACCAAGCTCAGAGAACCCCAAGGACTCCACAAATTAGCATGCTTCTAATTAGCGCTTGCTTGATTCAAAAGCCTTTCAAATCTTAAGTCCTCCGGGTTGCCAAAACTCAACCACTGTGGTGGGTCACTGAATAACTTCTGGATTTAAAGAGGGTGGCTGCTTATGAATTCATTGTGATACAAGTATTCGTAGCCATTGTCTTCTAAAGCCAAATTGTGTGTGCATTTCCCCACCACCACCAGTTCCTGCATTTCACATCCAGAGTACAACACAAAGCTGTGGCTATTTTAAAATTGGATTAGCTACTTCTGGAATTCTCTGCGAGAGAGCCAAGAGCTGTGTATGTAACGAGAAGCCAGTTTTCCCCAACCTGGCGTGCCCCAGATATGTTGGACTTCTGTTTCCCGTCACTCCTAGGCTGCGCAACTTGCTGGAAAGAAGCTGATTACGGTGGCTACGATGGGCACACTGCTGCTAATTCAAATGATAAGATACAGCAGAGGTATAAAGACAGTGATTGGAGCGGTCTCAAGTGCTTCGCGGGCTACAACCTGGCCCCACGTTTACCCCTTTGTGAGGCCCACACGTCGTTCTAACATAGTATTTTATTACTATGTGAAATTCAGTCATACCCAGCTCTAAAACTGCACAGCTACACTCAAAGAGGAGATGTTTCACTACCCTTCAGCCTCATCTCCCGAAGGAGAAACTTTGCAATTTGGGGGACTTGTCTCATTTTCAGTGTTCTTTCTGTAAACGGAGGCCCGCTTCCAACCCATAGTAGAAAGACCAGTTCACAGCCGTCACCGACTTTATTTTAGACTAAGAACCTTCTCCCTTTTCTGAGGACGGCCTTCTAGTTCTGGGCAGCATCTCTTGATCGTTTTTCTCTTCTCTCCTGCAAACAGCCTGGCCGGGAGGAGTCGGAAACCCTGCCCAGTGTTGGTCTCCCTTATGGCGTGGCTTTCTTATCCCCACGCTCTGTTTAAGGCTTCTTTTCCTCTCTCGAAAAGAGGGGTGGCAGTTCCTGATCTGGAGTATCCCACTGCAGGAACTCTGCCGCTCGCCTGTCCATATCAGTCTCCGAGCGCAGCGCACACCACAGGAGAAAGAGCGCTAAGCTCAGGGTGATCAGCAGGGCCTTCCAGAGGGGCTGCTGCTTATGGCTGCCCATGGAATGCCCGGTGGTCCATACGCGGGGGTTGGCAGGGCTCTTGCTGAAGCACAGCGGCTGGGAGCTGTCTGGCTCCTTGCGCTGACCGTAGAAACGCCGTGGGAGGAAGCTGAGGGATGGAGGTGGCCTGTAAAGAAAGCAGAGGAGGGTGTTGGTGACAGCCCCCGGGCCACCTGACCATGCCCACGTTCTCGCTAGCCTTCCAGGCCGGTTCTGTAGGTTTTGTATCAGCCCAGCAAGCAGCTAGCAGCGGGGTCGGGAAGAGGTCTAAACCTTGCAAGCACGACCTAACACTTTTGCTAAGAAGCTCTCCAGGGTGTTAAATCTAGGGCATGGAATAACAGAAGTCCACCACACCTGAGGCATCAGTTTGGCAAGCTATTTGAGTCACTTTCTTTTGTGTAAGAAGTGAGATGTCAAAGGAACTTTTGGACCTAGATTGTTTCTCCTGGATGTCCCTAACTGGCAGGATACAGCCAGGCCCCTTCCCCACACACAGGATGTGGGGTGCCCTTGAGGCACCATCACTGCAATTTGATACTTACTGAAGTAAAGCCTTGTGATGGGATCCCTGGATCACAGAAATAATCCGTTCCAGCTTCTCCTGGGTTATATGGTCTCAGAAGAAGAAGAAGAAGACAGGCAATGTTAATGTCCGTTCCTCTGGTTTCCCTCTCTTTTCCCAAACCACTCAGCCATTTTTGAGGCTCTGATCCCATAGGTCCCCCCGTTTTGTTTGCTTCTGCAGACTTCAGTGTAAAGGGGGCCTTTGGGCCTACATCGTTATCACACTGAGAATCCTTGCTCTATTCAGATACAGCAGAGCTGAGGAGATGGACGCCTCTCTAAAGGTTGCTGGACTCCAGCCTTCCATGCTGGGTGGAGTTCCTGTCCACCCACTTGAGACACTGCACAACAGCCCTCTTGCACGCAGGGCAGAAAAGCATGTTGTCCAGATGGAATAAAGACTGTGCAACGGGGCACTTGTGCAACAGGGCACAGGAGAAGGTCGGTGTTTCATGGGAGAGGATGCGGCCTACAGACAGAACGTTTCCTTCCCACCTCTCCAGTTCAAAAAAATCCAGTCCTGGAAAATCCCAACTGAGAGCAGACCAACTTAGGTCACCTGGACCAGCCACTTACCAAACGTGGTTTTCTCAATCAGTTTGCCTCTGTCTGAGAAATCATCAGTGGCTTTGCCAAACACGCCATTAACAGTGTATGTCTTTGAAAAGAAAAACATGGTGATATCGCGCACTGGGGATTCGAAATGCCCGGAGCAAAAACTTGGTCAAAACTTCCTAAAAGCATAATTGCAGCCCAAGACCCAACCCAGTTTGTCGTCTTGGCCAAAAAGAACCAGTTGTCCTTGGAAATATTTTTGTCAGAACAGGGCAGTACCTGTAGCGTGTACTATAAATACAAGTGTAAAAGTTTCCTTCAACTTGGAAGGTAGAGCTAAACTTGGGTCTCAACATTCCACACCCCTTGTCGGCTATTTTGAGAGCCTCCCCAAGACCTTAGTTTATCTGCAAATTTAGGGATTTCCATAAACGTGCTGTCCCACCCCCACCCCCCTTAAATATGGGGGAGGTTTGGGTTATCAACAATAGCACTCACTGCTAAGCATCAGAAACGGAGGGAACCCTTACCCTGGTCAGATGTGCATTATACCAGTCTGTGAGCATCTTGGTGCCGTGACCCACGCCGAGCACTGGAGGAGAAAAACACAGAAGACAGAATTAAAATGTCATTATTCCCTAACAATAAGTTCCAGTACGCAGATCAAAGTGGGCCTTATGCCAACGTGGGCAGGAAGAATTGGATACTGACTGCCCTGGATGGTCACGGTGGGGGGAAAAAAGGACCGTGCAATGTTGTGATTCCGCCATCGTAGAAGAATTCTGCGTTAGCGCCTGGTCTCAAACGGGAGAAGCTAAAAACGATCCAATGAGGCCATAGGGCCCTTCTTACAAATTAACATTTCTGACAGCCTAGTGAATTACAGGAGAATATCGACGCTCTGCTGATATCACAGCGAATGCCCTGTTAAACCTGGCTAGTAATTTTGATCAAGCCCCCATAACGGAGGAATTAACGCCTACAGCATCTACTTACGAAACACTCCAGAGGAATGGGTATCCAGCCGATGGCCAGCTCCAACTTTCAAGTGGGTAAATATCGGTCCTGAAACTGTGTAGAAAACCAAGGCAGACTTTAACGGTGGAAGGGCATTCCCCTTGCTCGTGTCAATTTCCCTGTTGCATCTGGTCGGCCAAAGAATCCTTGACAAGACGGGCCTTTGATGAGAGGCAGATTGCCGCCTTCTTATACAGCAGCGGCAAAAATTTACTTTTTAAGAAAACGCCCAGCCCGGTATTTTTAAAGATGCTAGATGGCATCAGCCACACCATTCAGCCTGAGAAGGGCAGATGTTTCACCAAGAAACCTGGAAAACTCCAAGTTGGCGGAAGGGCGATAAAGGCACACAACGAAAGAATCCCAGCAAAATGTTCAACGAAACACAACAGGAAAGGGGATGCCGCTCTTTCGGACTGATGGCACTCCTGATCCGGTTTGGTCTCTCCCAGGCACCCTGTCTCCACGAGTCCTCGGGGGAGATCTGAACGCCGCCTTACCTAGAGGATGGTCAACCAGCATCGGAACCTTGTTCACCGTCAGGGTCAAATCCTTCCCGTCCTCCTCAGACACCGTCCGTTGAAAGCGTATTTGCTGGCGGGGTTGCGGGCACTTTAAGGAGTTCAAGCCTAAAAGCAAGGAAGACCACGATTTTTCCCCCTCCCCCCCTGAACGATACCACCTGCGTTTTTCAGGCATTTCGATTCCAACGCATGGGAATTTCTCTGGCGACTCATCCCCTATTGCTCGGTTCCTGTTTGGCTGGCGATCCAGCGAGACAAAGCTCCCTTGGCCATCTCTGCCTAAGTCTACAGCCGCCCATTTCGCTCCTCTGGAGCCCTCCAGATGTTTTGAAGGACGGGCTGGAGAGAGCGGTTCTACATCCAGCGGGCTCCCTGCGCAAACCCACCCGGACGGG